CTTCAAGGCTCAGGGGTCCAGGATTATCTTCTGTGTCTGTGTTAATTGGTTCCCCTTTTCTTTGTTGAAGAGGGTCTGTGCAGTCTTTCTGCCTAGTCCACCATCTTGCTGGAACTCCCCCTTTTTATATGTAATAATATAACCAAAAGGCATCATTGAGTCTATTCCAGCTCAGAGTGACCTCCATTGGGTCTCCAAGGCTGTAAATCTTCACAGAAGCAAACTGCCTCATCTTTCTTTCATGGAGCAGCTAGTGGGTTCAAACCACTGACAATTTGGTTAGCAGCCAAATGTCTTAACCACTACACCACCACAGCTCCTTGTAATAAGATGATTTGAAGTCAATCCCCAAATACATTGTGCTCTGTGCATTTTTTACCCTCCAATCTCTCTAAGGGATGAGGTTGATGGTCAGAAGAGGTGAATATATACCCTTCAATTTTAAGAAAACAATTTATATTTTCAAAATATTATCCCTAATTAGGTAACTAGAGGCTGGATAACACTATTTTATATGTAAGGACATTTATGTTCAGTCAGTCACAAAGTAATTCAAGAAAAGAATTATTTTAGGATCCAGAATCCCTTTAGTTTTTAGTCTTACTTACATTTTTCTTAATTTCACTAGCTGAGACTTTCACTTTTAAAATACAACATGTTCAACATTCTGTTGGTTATTTTCTCAAGCACAGATCTGAAGGATTATTCCTTTCGTCGTGGGCCCCTCACTGCCCTGAAGGTCAATTCCAAGCTCCTTAGCAAGGCATGTCAAGCTGCAATAATGATGCCTCTATTTACCTCTCTAGTCCTTTCTCTCACCCCCAATTCTATTTCCCCAAATGTACAATACTCCAGCCATATAAAATAATTTACCATTTCACTAATGCATCAAGCTCTCTCTCACCTCTCTCTCTTCCTTCTTTTACTCCTTACCTTGCTACCACCTAGCTGTCTCTTGTTGTTGTTATGTGCCGTTGAGTTGGACCCGACTTGTGGTGACCCTCCTTGGGTTTCTGAGACAGTATCACTACGGAAGTAGATTGCCCAACCTTCCTTCAGAGGAGTGGCTGGTGGGTTTGAACCACCAGCCTTCTGGTTAGCAGTCGAGTGCCTTAGGCACTACACTACCAGAGCTCCTAGCCGTCTTTTACTCATCAATTATATCTCAGCTAAAATATCACCTCTTCCAGGAAGTCCTTCTTGACACACCCAAGACTGGATTATGTGCTCCTTCTTTACTCCCCTGGCAATTTTTTGCCTTTCAAGGCTCTCATCAGCCTAATTAAGACCAAAAGTTCCCAAATACAATGCAGAGACTACCAAAAACAAACCAAGCCCACTGATGTCAAATCAGTTCTAACTCGTTGTGACCATATAGGAGATAGGACAGAGTAGAACTGCTCAACAGGGCTGTAAATCTTTATGGAGCAGACTGCCACATCTCATTTGGAGCAGATGGTGGGTTCAAACTGCCAGCCTTTTGGTTAGCACCCAAGTGTTTTAACCACCATGTTACCAGGGAACCTTGCAAAGAGGACAGTCTGTGAGCTCACAGCTGTACTCTGGGAGCTTTTTTTTTTTTAATAAATGAATAAATGACAGACTAATGAGGCACTTATTATTTGTTGCTTTTTTAATATATTTTCTCAGAATTATAATCGGCCACCTGTGATGGCATTGGCCATCCCCATTGCAGTGAAATTCCTTCACAGAAGCAACAAGGAACTGTGCAGGAACATGTCTAACTACCTGTCCCTGGCTGCAATTACCAAGGCAGAACTCCTGGCTGATCACACAGAGGCTATAGTGAAGAGCATACTCCAAGGTACAGTGTGAAGGTTGAGTTTTGGGACATGTTATAGAAAATGTTTAAAAGCATTTATGGTTGGTGGTAAGCAAGACCTAGAGTAATGTGGTTGTTAGGTGCCATCAAGTTGGCTCCAACCCATAGAGACCCTCTCTCTGTACAACAGAACGAAACACTGCCCAGTTCTGTGCTATGCTCATAATCAATCATAGGGTTTTCAGTGACCAATTTTGCCCAAAGTGGATGGCCCCATCCTTCTTCTCAGTCTCTCTTAGTCTGGAATCACTGGTGAAACCTATCCACCATTGGTGACCCTGCTGGTATTTGAGATACCAAGGGCATAACTTCCAGCCTCACAGCAACACGCAAAGCACCACGGTATCACAAACTGACAGACAAGTGGTGGAGAGTAATGAGAACTACATTAAATTCTGTGCTTTACCACTAGTTGTCTTGTGAACATGGGTACAGTCACATGAACTGATGGAGCCTCTGTCTCTTCACCTAGCAGATGGATTATTTGAATTTACTGAGTTCTAAGTTTCCTTTCTGGGTGGTGTAAATACTTAACAGAGTCAGCTCTTATCCAAAAAGTTGGAGGTTTGAGTCCGTCCAGAGGCACTGTGGAAGAAAGCCCTGGTGATCTATTTCTGAAAGATCCACTAAAAAAAACCCTGTTGTTATGGAGTCTCCTCCAACTCATAGTGACTCTATAGGGCATGATAGAACTGTCCCATTAGGTTGTCAAGGCTGTATATCTTTATGAAAGCAAATTGCCCCATCTTTCTCTCAAAGAGTGATTCATAGGTTCAAACTTCTGACCTTTCAGTTAGTAGCCAAGTACTTGACCACTGTGCCGCTGTTGTTGTTGTTGTTGTTGTGTGCCATCGAGTCAGACCCGACTCATAGCGACCCCTCCTTGGGTTTCTGAGGCAGTATCACTACGGAAGTAGATTGCCCCATCTTCCTTCCAGGGAGTGGCTGGTGGGTTTGAACCGCCAGCCTTCTGGTTAGCAGTCAAGTGCCTTAGCCGCTATGCTACCAGAGCTCCTACTCTAGGGCTCCCCTTTGAAAAATCACAACTATTGAAATGGAGCATAGTTCTACTCTCACATACACGGGGTCACTATGAGTCAGAATCAACTTTATGGCAACTGGTCGGGAAAAAACAAAACTCCCTTCCAGCTCTACATTTCTCGATCCAGAAAACTGTGTTTTCCAAGCTTATAGGCATGTTGTCCAACTATTGACTGTGGAGAGCCTATCTGTATGTACAGAGTGGAGCAGGTTCCACTACTCTCAGTGTCAGATGGAAAACTTCTTTGCTTTCCAAAGGCAAGAAATCCCTTTTGTTAGCTAAGATACACCAGAAAACATGGCAAGATTTTTTAAACATGAACATAGCTTGGGACTGAATTACAAGTTTGGTAAATACTGCCATAAAAATTCAAATCAAGGTACCTCTGTTAATTGTCCCCACATTTGAATGAAAAAGAAGATCAAGTTAGCCACTCAGAATATTCTCCTTGTCTTGTATTTTTTTCTTTGGTTTTAGATCTAAAAGAAATCAAGTTTCTTGGATTTGGGATCAGAGAGCAATGTAAGGTATTATCCGATACGCACTCAAGTATCCGCAATCTTCAGTAACCCATAAGATGCATGAAGTCCATGAGTATCTTGGCCCACAGTTTGCTAACTCAGTCCCCAAACATGCTCAAAATGAGCATCAACCTCTGTAAAATGCCCCCAGACCAAATATTTCTTAGTGTCCCCAAGTAAGTTCCACATGTGTCCCACTCCAAAAATATCCAGACCAGTCCACAAGCCTTTGCTACTCTTCTCTCCCTACTTCCTGGCTCAGCCATGTAGAGGCCACCTCTCCTGCCCACCCTGAGCCCAGCAGGCTCTGTGACAGGGTAGAGGACAACTCCCGTCCCTCCCTTTGGGGTTACACTTGAGTAGAGAGGCCCTGTCTTAGTTACTTGGTGCTGCTATAGTAGACATACCACAAATGGGGGACTTTAACAAACAGAAATTTATTTTCTCACAATGTAAGAGGCTAGAATTCCTAACTCAGACTGCCAGCTCTGGGGAAGGATTTCTCTCTCTGTTGCCTCCGAATGAAGGTCCTGGTCTCTTCTGAGTTTCTGCTCCTGGACAATCTTCACGTGGCTTGGCGTCTCTCTTGCTCCATCTCTGCTTCTCTTATTGACTCATTTAATCTCTTTTATATCTCAAAAGAGATTGATTTAAAACACATCCTACACTAATCCTGTCTCATTAACATAACAAAGACTACTCCTTCCCAAATGCGATTATAACCACAGGCATAGAAGTTAGGATTTACAACACATATTTTGGGGGTAGGAGTAGAGGTTGGGGACATAATTCAATCCATAACAGCCCTACCTGGCAGGATTGCTTGGCTCCCAGAGTGTCACTGACTTTGTAGTAAAGTAGGTTTTTCAGTTTTACCTGAAGTCTGTTTTTACTGGGCTCAACAACACACCCACAATCTGAACTAACTACAAATTACTCCTCAAATTCTCAAAATGCCTACTGCCTGCCAAGGACTAAGGTTTTGTGCCTAAATTAAGCTAATTGTGCCAGATGTCTTTCCAAGGAGGGTTCTTAGTACCACAACCCCTGTATTTTTGGCCAGTTACCCCATAGTCCACCATACCTGCCCAGATGTGTCTGAATCCCAGACATACTCAGCAAAATTTACCTCTCAATTTGTCCTCCTCTCAAAAGATTTGTCATTAATAATACTACTCAGTATAATTCATATCTCATTTCTTTGGCTACAGGATTGAATTGCTAATTTCACCTTAAGTGATATTACATTTGCTAAATATCCAAAAAGTCAATTATGCTTTTTTTCACCACCTTGACCACATTTTTGGAACAGATTTCATGAGAATTAAAAACACTTACACATACCACATGCAAGCACACATCTTAAAAACATGGTAGTTAGACTTGCGAGTTAAGTGATTTATGAAAAATACATTTCAATTGTCTCTTCACAGCTGCCAAGAACTTGGCTCATCTATTTGTATTGTTTTGTTTTTTTCAAATGTTCTTCCAGTGACAAAGAAACCTCTTAAAACACAAAAAGCATTTCTGAAATAAACAAATGATTTAGTGTATTAAATCTGGCAGTATGAAAATTACCATAACATGAATGTAATTTGACTATAAAAGGCTAGGGCTGCATATTTCCAAATTTAAAATTTTAGCACTGATGGACTTGGAAAAGTCTATAATCACTCTAAGATGCCCCTCAAACTTTGAGCTACTAAGCAGAAGACAGTCTTGCCATCTCAGAGTAGTGAGTTTTCTGTGCTACAAATCTTTGTCTTACACTCCCTGCCAAACAACCTTATGAATCATTGAGATTTTTCATTACCCACAGTTTTTCTCCCCTTTCAGTCTTTTCTCCTTGACATATAGTATCCTAATCTCTGTTCTCCCATTTTCCCATCTCTACCAAAAACACTGACATAATACAGTTATTTGATGTGATGTGATCTGAATCTACTTCTGTAAAGATTTACTGCCTTGGAAACCCAACAAGGTTCACTATAAGTCAGAATCAACTTGATGACAGTGGGTTTGGTTTGTTTTTTGGTAAGTTTACAAGACTAGAATGATAACATCATAGAGCACTAGTTTGGGATATTAAACATGATTTAGTTCTGTCACCCATGCAATATTTGAATTCCCATTGTATGGTTATCCATTCAATAATAGCAACACTAATCCTAACATTAATAATAACTGTTGTGGGGTGGTTGTTGGGGGTGCTGTCAAGTCAATTTCCAACTAATAGTGCCCCAATGAAGGAAGCTTTGGTAGTGTAGTGGTTAAGGCATTTGGCTGCTAACCAAAAGGTCAGTGGTTTGAACCACCAGTCACTCCATGGAAGAAAGATTCCCAGCCTTGGAAACCCAGTGGTGGTTGCTATGAGTAAGAATCAACTAGATGGCAGTAAATTTGGTTTGATTTGGTTTGGTTTGGTGTGGTTTGACCACTCCCATATGACAGAGTAGAACTGCCTCATCATACTTTTGCTCTGCAGGAGTAAGAAGATCTGGCAATTGTCTCCTGGAATGATTGTAGCCTAGAAAAAGCTATGAGGCAGTTCTACTCTGTAAAAAAGACAGAGAAGGGTTTGCTTGGGAAAAGGAACTCACTTAGTAGGTTACCTGGATGTGGAGGGAAGAGGAGGGATTAATTTCGGGCTAGTTGGGGCCTACACGCTGACATGGGTAGGGGGAGGGATATATGGGAAGGATTTATGACTACCATGATAACATTAGGAAATGGGAAGACACCAAACTGTGCACATAACAGATAGACGACAGATGCTAATACCAACCAGTGTGTCCATAATACTGCATTGCCATTAACACCAAACACTAGGTTATACAGATAAACATATAGACACCTGAGATGATCAGACGGGGGTCAGTGAACAGAAGTATATTCTAGACCAAGGATAGATTCAACTGAGGCTAATCTTGTACAGACACCATCGATGCAAAATATCTGCAGTCCTTACAGAAAAAATAGAAGACAGACACAGAGTAATCCCTCATGACATCCCGACACTATGGGAGAGAGATCCAATAGATCTACTGCCCCAGGACCATAATACTGGGAGACACCAGACTCAATTGGCACAACAAAATACATAAAACCATTGCTCCTCATCCTACATTGGTGAGTAGCGACTGGGGTCTTAAAAGCTTTCAAGCAGCCATCTGAGATGCAGCTAACGGTCTCCTAGCGTTGGAAATGAAGAAGAATGCAAAAAAAAAAGGGGGGGCGGACATTTAGAAGCAATCAGCCCTAGGACATGATGGCCCTTGAGACCAGAAGAACTGGATGGTGCCCAGCTACCAATGCCAACCACTCAGGAAAGGATCAAATCTGGAGATCCTGGATAGAATGGGAGGGAAAACGTGGAACATAATCCAAAAACTCAATAATGACCGGAATTACTGGTCAGA